TTGTCACCAGAGCTGAACAGAGCAGTGGTTTGACCATTACTGTAAGAAAAATGCAGCATCTGGAGCCCTAGTGAGTAGCCTGCTGTAGGTATCTTACCGCATCCTTAGGAGAAGTGCAAACAAATGCCATTCTAATATTAAACTAAGGCCTAGCAATGTGATGAAATGAAAGTATGGTAAAAGAAAAAGATACTTCAAAGTGTACATCTATATGATTTTTATTTATATTTAAGAATAGAAATTGGAGTGTACTAAAATGCTACATGAGAAATTTTAATTAATATGTTGAAGTGTACAAAATGGAGTATGTGTCACAGCACTTTTTTGAATGGAACTATGACTTTTATTTTGCTTCTAACTTACCTAACACCATTTCTGTTACAAACTAGGTTCTGAGTTTGGGGTTTATTTGCTTGAAATACCTGTCGCTTTTTAAATAAAATGTAATATCTGTAAATTCAATTCTTGGAGAAAATATTGGTAATATTGCCTGTTGCAGGAAAAAGAAATATTTCCAGATTATTATAATTTGTTATTACTATCGACAAATACAAGTTTATCAGCTACTTGTTTGCAAGTAGCTCTGAATGTTGACCATTATTCAAAAAGTATGATTGAGTTTCCTTTTATTAATCTAAACTGTAGGATAATTTTGCCTTTTTTTTCTTCAAGTTGTAATTTACTCTAGTTTTTCTTTACAGACCTTCCATTCTCCTTAGTCTCTAATTCTTGCACTCCATGGAGAGTTCACAACTTTTTGTTTCTGTACTGGACCTTTTTGAATGTGCCCCATTTCACCCTGATTTGGTTTTTCAGGATCTGCTGTGTGCCTCAGTTCATCCCTTGGCTCTGTTCTTCTGCAAATTTCTAGAAACTGCTTCTCTTTGCTTTATAGTTTATGATGTCTAAATACCACAAATGGGGTGACCACAGACAGAGCCCAACTCTTCAGCTTCTCTGTCTTAATTTTTCCATAGTTTGCTTCATTCTTCCTCTTTCTCATGTTTACTTGCCCCAAGAACATGCCTTCATTTTTGGCCTTCACCCCTTACTTGTCATCTGAGTAGAAGGTCACAGTAGAGGAGGTTGCTCCTTCAGGAGAGGACCCTCTTGAACCAGTAGGGCCTAAGCATCAGTAAGGATGCTGTCTTAGGATCAGGGATGCTTAATCACAACTCTTTTGAGAACCTTTCCCACTCCTTGAAGCGGAGAGTATCACCTCAGCTTTCATTAGCTGTAGTTTATAGTTGTTTTGTCAGATAAACAATCTCTTACCAAACCTAGTCCACTCACCCCACAGACCTGCAGATTAAGAGAAGGAGTTTAGAAAGAAGTTCATAGAGATATGGGGCTGCTTCTTTCCCCTGGAGAGAGCTGCCAGTGTGCTGTGCCTGTCCTGTGGCAGCTGTAGCCTATCCCAGGCATCCTGCCTCATAGATGTCATGTACCAAGATGCCAAAAGACTGGTCTATAGAGATAAACTATGTAAAAAATGAAGAATCACAGAAATATGAGAAAGTGCTTCTTGCTTTTAATTTGAGGAACAGGCAGTAATCCAACATGACTGGAAGGACTCATGTTTTGTCACGTGGGTGGTACAGCAAAGTGAGTTATGGACAACATGCTTCTCAAACTGGCAAACTTCTCATCCTCATCCCTGGTGTTTTCCTGATGCCTGTCTGTTCCTACAGCTCCCACCAATTCCGATGGCTTCAACCCCGCCGAGCTTGTGCTGCTGCAGGTCATGGACCCCCAGGCTGCAAATCATCTTCCTCAGCAACCAGTGCTATCTGGCTCTGCAGTCTCATATATCAGTAGCTGTGATTTTGCCTCATGATCTCCACTTGGGAAAGCTCTAGGTGAAACACAGAGTTTTCCTTGTGACTCCTTGTCACTTATTGGTGATCAATGGTGGGAGACAGGCTATAGACAAAGTCAGTCTGTGAAGGAGAGAGTAGCTTTTCTTTGTCTGAAACAGAGCCAAGAACAATATATCAATGTCCATACATATTTAACTCTAAGGACTGATTCAGTATTTGTCTTGCTGAAGTGTAATTTTGGAAGCTGAGGTTTAGAAGTCGTTTTTCTTCAGTGGAAGTAGCTACCATCAGAAGGTGATTGGTAGTCCTGTTGTTTTGTTTGTAATTTTGCTGCTTGTAGAATAGTTAATGCAATGCTTTGTTGAAGTCTCATGCACTACTGTTATGTTACCTTGACACATACAAGAATAGAAGCACTGTTTTCAGGGTGACGTAACCAAATTATTACTACCCTCTTTTTCCAGTATTAGGTTAGAAAAGATGTAGAGATTATGTTTTTGGGGTTTGGGGGTTTTTGTTTTTGTTTTTTTAATTTTTTAACTAAAAAGTTTAGTGTTAAGTAATGAAGAAAACAACAGCTAAAGTGATCATAGGCAAATTTTCATAAACAAGATAGTATAAATTGAATAGATAGCACTGAAAATAGATTTGTCCTTCAGGTTGTACTATGGACAACGGTGAGAAAAGAGGGGAGACTTTTGTAATGATGAGAACTACTTTAATATCATTACTTGAAATAGCTACAAGTAGAAGCCATAGATAATAAAATCTTCAAACTGTAGAGGTTGAAAGCTCCAAGAAGCCAAGAATGACTGCAGCTGCCTTGATTGATGGTGGAAAAAAGCCATAGGGTTGTGAATAGTTTATGCAGATCGAATACAATCACAGAGTCAAAATGTGCAGTCAAAAGGTTTGAGATCCAAGAACCAGGTGGTACACATGTCTATCTCAGGATTTTGGAGGGGTTTCCTGGCATCAACCAACTCAAAGAATCAGACTAAAGAAACATTTTTGATATCTACAGTTAGATAACACAATGGGACTATCACTTTGAACACAAAATTACTTGTTGTCTACAGTCTTCTCCAAACATTCAATGAGACAAATTGTTCCTGTTTTAAAATAATGCCTCAGAACTGAATGCCACTTTAGTTCTTTTTCTGGAAGTGCTAAATGGAAGCTAATGACTGAGAGGAAATGATTTCCAAATTTTGCAACTGGCAGCCATTACCAGAGGATTCATGAGCTTTTCAAATCCATTTTTATTTAATTTAAGTCGTGGTTTGTCAAGAAGTGGGCAAGTAAATGTGTAGAGAATGTGGCCAAGGTAGCCACATTCAGAATTATTTATGATCTGATCATAGCTTTTGCAGATCTTTTTATTGTTTTCAAGAAAAAAAAATCTGCTTTGAAATAGTGTACCTAAAATATTTTGCTTCTGTATTCTTAGAAAAAAATGACCACTTAATTACTAGCCTTTTAATAGCCCTGCAGTTTCAAAGGGCTATTAGTGATGGGGTTTATTAATTTCTACTAATCTTAAGTACTGAAGAAATCACTACAGTTTTGCTGTTTCAGATTTGACAGAAAGGAACATTTTAAAAAGAAACACTAGCAATATTGAATACACAATCTTGTGACTTTTGAGATATTTGAATATTTTTCTATAGCAAATGAAAAACATTAAAAAACCATGTGTATTGATTCTGGATCTGACAGCAGTTCCTTCTTGAGTAAAGGAAAATTTTATTGATGAATCAGCAGATTATGAGATCAGTTTTCTGTTTTTCATTCCTAAGAAATAATATATGCATATATGTATGGTCCAATACAGGATCAAGTCTAGTGAGCATCAGTTGAACAGCTACCTTCCATTTTCCCCTTCAATTTCTAGCTTAGCAGATACTGTGTTGGGACAAAATTGTGAGCCCAGGCATTGATCCATCTTCTTTAAATCTTTTCATTATAAATTTGATTATTAGAAATTAAAATCTCTGTATGCTGTCACTTCAGTCCACTTTCCTTACCTGCATAATCATGTTGATCATTAGCTATTCACTGCATGTGTGTGTTTAATGGCCATTCTGTAATGCTGCCTTTTTTTCCATTTTTCATGGTTTAGTTATTCCAGTTGGAAATGTGTAAAACCACCAAAATATTAAAGAAATGGCTTCTTCATTATTTAAGTAGTGATTTCTCAGACAAGCGGATTGGGATTTAAGTGCCCACATGTCAATATCTACAGTTTTGAAATTGATACCTAAGATCATCCTCCCATGTCCCTTTTATAGAGACAATGGAGACAAAAATGCTTTTTTAGGATGCGATGTCATTCCAAATTAAGTTTCTAAAACAATTTATCAGATGATTTTCACCCTGAAAATGCCAGGTTTTGTTTACTGTAAATGGAAACAAGAACAACTCACTTAGATGTTGGCTTTATAGATGTCCAAAGGTGGAGGATATGAAACCCATCCCCGTGCTCAAATTAATCATAAATGCCCAGAGGTTTGGTGCAGTGACACTTCTCCTGTGAATGTACTGCGGCTGTGTTTTTTGGTGTAAAGAACATAGTGCCATTCCTGTACAGATGAGCAACTCCTGTTCAGCTCAAGCACCAAAAGCAATACAGTCATGTTAGGACTGCTTTTTAAATGGATTAGATTACTCTGCTTTTCACCTTGACTAAGTAATTCCAGGGTATTGGCATGTCCACATTCTTTCCAGAACAGATCAGTTTGGCAATGGCATTGATATTATAGGCATACAGAGATGGTGTTTAATATAAAGAAGATAAATATTATGTCCTGGACCAAATTGGGTCCTGCTATGCAAAGCAGCAATTATCATATTGGTGGTGGTATTATTGTTATCATCATCATCATCATCATCATCATCATCATTATTATTATTATTATTATTATTATTATTATTATTATTATTATTATACCAGCTATTCTTGTCCCAGCAAGCTTGCAAGGAGCTAGTTTATACACAATGAAAAGGGAGGAACCTTAACGGAAATAGCATTATTTAGGAATGACGCATAGCAAGGGACTCTTGCAATAAAGAGGATTAGAAAAAGTGACAGAGGTTGAATGCTGAAATATTTCCTAGGTTCTGTACTTAATTTTGGATAGTGCCTTAACAGTGATTTTTCCTGTGGGTTTTTCCCCTTAGGATGATTTCCAGCATGCAGCCTCAGAAACCAACTGGGAGTCAGTCACAAGCTCTGTCTCAGTAAGTAATTTTTCACTATTTTGTACATGGATGGATTGATAGGATGGCTTGAATCCAACTCACAAAAATGGCACCTGCATGGAGAAACCATGTATTCACTTTTGGAATAGAACGAAATAAGTGTTTATTCAACTCATACTGGAGTCAACCAGTATGGTTTTAGAGATAAAAGATTCAGGGTATGCCATCAACTATTGTAATCACATGAGATAGCCATCGGGAAACATTTCTTACTTTCAAACTCATTCTCCCAATATGAAAATACAGGATATAAACTTAAAATTTTTAATTGTAGAATGTCTTGACCTAAACAGAAAACTATAATTAAAACAGTAGGAACATAGATCTAGCTTTTCATTGTGAATACTGAGAATTTTGTATCTGAAATATTGTATTTGAAGTCTCTGCATTCAGCAGTGAAATGCAACTCAGAGAAAAATAAAACAGAAAAAAAGAAGAAAAACACGTAATCCAGTATAAAAGTTTATTTTTCTCTTCATTGCATTTGATTTGTGTCATTGACAAAAAATCTGTCCTCTCTTTCCCAACACCTGGGAACAGCAGTGTAGCATCAGAATTCATAATACGGGCAGTCCTCTTCTGTGTGCTCTGCTGCCTAGGCAGCACCATGTCACAGCTCTTGTTAACTCCTCTTAAAACACGAGGTAGGGATAAATGCTAAAAGCAGATTTGAAACCAATGTTTGGAGCATTCACGGAAGAGAGCTTAATGATAGCACCTTTGTTACAATAGCTGCCAGGAGTAACCAGTGAAGGAGCAGTAAATAAAATATGGGTAAATTCTACTGATCAGTGTCCAATCCAGGCAGTGAGTAGAGAGAAAATTCTGTACTGCCAAAATTAGAAGCTGTTAAGCTAGTCTTACTTATATTTACCCTTGAGTTTGCAAATGAAACTTGTCCTTCATGATACGATGCATTGATTGCCTGGAACTAATTGTGCTGAAAGTCTTGAGGAGTAATGTTAGCAGGGCTGAGATCTACTAGATGTGCCAAGCAGGAGATGCTAAAACAGTTTTACTGAAAGACATAAACTCATTTTTCATTCTATTATGGGCCTGGGGGAAAAAAATCTATATGATGGAATATTTTGTTTAAAAATATGGTAGGCTGATGTTTGAAAATGTAAACCTAGGGCTCCCTCAGCAGATGACTATGAAAATGAGATCAATGATATGGTATACGCCATGTTAGTTAACATCCTTAACATCATAAAATGCACAATATACCAAACCAAAACCCAGTATCCTTTTCATATTGAAAAATTAAGTTTATCTTCCACATCTTTTTTTTTTTGAAAAATCGTTACCATATTGCAGGTAGGGAAATTCAGTACAAATGTTACAGATAGCAAGCTGATGCCCAAGGTCACCTGGAAACTTACAGCTCAACCAGAAGCAGAACCTCAGTTTTACTGGTTTTCCCGCACCATTCCCTATCTCATAAAACATATTTTCTTCAACTTGGGTGTGTGTCGCACCTGCAAGTCCCTTTTATCCTCAGGGAAAATAAGGTAGGGAGATTGAGCAATTTTTCACAAAAGCACGAAGGAAAAAGTCTGAGAACACCCAAGTTCTTCAGGAGAAAAAGATTCAGGGGTTCTACTTTCGTCTTGAGGAGCAGAGGGACAAACTCAGACCTGTAAGTCTTGATGACATAAGATTCTGCTGATGCTCAAAAATTGCTCTCTCAAACCCACAAGCAACTCAAGGACTCATTTTAGGATCTAGACACATTACAACTTTCAGAATGAAAATTTCAGAGTGAGCAAATTCCATGTTGGAGATCATATTACAGAGGTATGTTTTGTTTGGTTTTTGGTTGTTGTTTTTTTTTCAGAAAGCTAAAACAAATACTTCTGCCCTTAACCCATCATGGGAAACCCAGGAAAAAAATAAAAAGGAAACAAATCACTCCTTATTAGTTTAGTTTCCATTATTTCTGAAGTAATTTTATGTCCAATAAAAAAACTGTGATGCACATTGGACTGTCTGTCAGGTTCACAACAGAGATAGGAAAGAGAAAAGAATGGGGGAATAGAAATTAGGGGCAAGAGGACTGACAAAAAAAAAGATACCTTTGTGTTCCATTAAATTAAAAATGTATTCAGTGCTTTTAAGAAATGCAAAAGAGATACAAAATGTGGTAAATCTTCATTGCTTCTTCATTGCTTCTTACATTTCACTCTTCTTCTTGCTCCCTCTTTGGATGCCATATCAGAAGCCAGATTACAACGAGCACAAACTCTCCTAAAGCCAGCACCTCGTTCTTGGCAGAACAAAAAAAAAAGGCAGTTTTGTTGGCAGCTTTGAAGTTGCTTTTGGGCCTGTCACATGGTGTCAGGAGGCTATCTGAGCTGTTGAAATAATTCCTCTTTATTTGGCTGTCACTGAGAAAACGTTAAGCTTTCTTCTATGTTTGAACGAGGTTGCACAAATCTCTTGAGTAGGAGCTTTTATATGAAATGAAAATGGAGAATGCCTAGCTGTCTCAGTTTGAAATGCCTTGCACATTCACTGATCTGCATTTCTGTAATGAAATGTACAGTTGAACATGCGAAAAAAAAAAAATCTCTTGCACTGAGTAAGCCACAGACCTGTGGTCTGATCTTTATGTGCTGTTTCTTCAGTCTCCTTGCACCATCTCCCTCACTTTTGAAAGGCAATCAGGGTCTGATGTTTCCCTGTTGGGCTGCCAATAGCCCCACTGAGCTCTTCTTAGTAAGAAAGTAGCATTTGGATGCCTTTTCCTTTTGTAGCCCAAAAGGCTGTGTTAGCACACTGCATGATGCTGGCCACTGCATAGTCTCTCCTGCAACATTGCTTTAGATAACAATGCTGTATTCACTTTACTGGTGAGCTTTTCAACTGGAGCTTTTCAACTCCTGGGACTTCCATCTCTCTGGCGGTCTCTATTCTAAACCACTTAGAAGTCAGGAGAGAGGCTTTGAGGTAGGCCTTTCCTTTTAGGGGACATGAATTTTTACAGGCATCTGCACTGTGTCTTACTTAGCATGGCACTAGAGAGGCATTGCAGTCACAAGTGGGCCCTCTGAAACTTCTTGGGTCGTTGGTCGTAAGCAGTAAAGCGCAGCTGTGCTTTCTTGACTGCACTATTGTTATGTTTTCTATTTCTTCTCTTTTTAATAATTTGTACTGTCCATACTTTCAGCAAATAAATGCAGTAAAATATCAAGGATTGTTAATTTTGTGATATATCTTACCATTAGAGACAACTGTTTTATTTTAAAAGACATATATACTTTAAAATTATTATAGTAGGAATTGAAGGACACAATCCTGCAAAAAAAATGAGTGAATTTATTCAAATGAGTTGACCTTTCCATTACTACCTAACTGAGTGAAGTTAATCACAAAGATTAATAGTTTAACTTAACTAGGATATGAGGCAAAAAAAATATTTTGGGAAGCCATTAATTTTAAATGGCATATTTCTACTGCATTACTTCAGAGCTGGGTTTTCATAAGACAAGAGTTTTCTAGGGTTTTCCCCCCAATGTTTTAACATGTAAGACCAAACAACTCTCGTGCTCTACTATGCTTCTTGTTGGACAAAATAATGTATTTTGATTGTGGTCCTTCAAAAAGTAAGAGATCTGCATTATTAGCTTTTCTTGCAAATATTTTACATAATATTTGCATACTATTTGACTTTGTGCTTGGACCAGGGAAAAAGTGATGTCAGGATAGTGGATATTGTAATTCTAAGTAATGATTTTTAAAAATGTTTGAAGTCCTCTCCTGGAAAACTGAAATTACTACAATCTTTCTGTCAAAGTTAAGTTGTACCACAGGTTCAGTGGGAACACTCAGAGAATGGTGCTTGGCCCTTACCGATGGGAAATAATATTATTTGATACAATTGTGAGGATATTAATACGTTGGTAATCCAAATATTCATTGTTACATTGCTGAGATCATAGAACCATAGAATAGCTTGGGTTGGAAGGGACCTTAAAGATCATCTAGTTCCATTCCAGCTGTGGGCAGGGATGCCTTCCACTAGACCAGCTTGCTCACAGCCCCCTCCACTTGACAGTGAACACTGTCAGAGATGGGGCATCCACAGCCTCTCTCAGTAACCCATTCCACTGTCTCACCACCCTCACAGTAAAGAATTTCTTAATATCTAACCTAAACTTCCCCTCTTTTATTTTAAAGCCATTCCCCCTTGTCCTATCACTACGTGCCCTTGTAAAAAATCTCTCTCTGTCTTTCCTTTAAGGTCCCTTCAGGTATTGTAAGACCAAAATTAGGTCACCCTGATGCCTTCTCATGGCTGAACAATTCCAATTCTCTTAGCCTTTCCTCCATCCCTTTAATCATCTTGGTAGCTCTCCTCTGAACTTGCTCCAACTGGTTGATGCCCTTCCTTGATGCTAGGGACTCTAGAGCTGGATGCAGTATTCTAGGTGGAGCCTCACAAGAGTTGAATAGAGGGGCAAGTTCCCCCCTCACCCTGCTGGCCACGCTGTTTTTGATGCAACCCAGGATACAATTGGCTTTTTGGGCTGCAAACGCATGTTACCAACTCATGTCCAGCCTCTTATCCACCAGCACCCCCAAGATCAAAGTATCATATTTTTTCTGTTTGATTAATAAGTTGTATTTTTTGGTAAAAAATGTCAGTTGGTGTATTGAAATACATTTAATTTTGGGGAATAAAGGGTCATTTTTTCAAGTCTTCAACCAAGCCAAATTTGTTGCCCAAGTTGACCAGAGAAAGATAGTGGACTTATTGTCTTTGTCTTTCTCTGCTATGGTTTCTGATCTGCCTCTTATCAAATAACTGCCAAAGCTGGCCTCTCCATTCTATGTCCATGGCCATAACAGTGGTTTCATTACATCTCTGTAAATGTGCAAACCATTATCCCCTTTGAGAAGTGGATGTAAATGCTGACAGCCCACCAGTGGCAGTGCTTTTGCTCCCTCAATCTCCTCTGGGATTTGTTTGGGAGTTCCTTGGTGTCTCTTCTCCTTACAAAAAGAAAACACAGGTATAACAAAGCCTGGCCCAGGTAAAGACTTCAAAAGATGGCCCAAAGTAGCTGTTTCACTCAATAATGAGACAAGTTTCTCAGTAGCTGTTTTCAATTGTTTTAAGTGGTGCTGTAACTTATTCAAAGTGCACTGAGATATATGTCACTCTTAGGGGGTATCCTATCCCTCTCCATCAGTGACTGATGCTACGCTCACGGCAGAAGCACTGGATCAAACCATTGCTGCATTTGACACAGTGGAGGATCTGCTCAAACACTTTAACCCGGACTCCTGGCAAGAAGATCTTGAGAATCTGTACACAGACAGTGGCCACCATTATCGAGGCAGGAGCTACCACGACAGGAAGTCCAAAGGTAGGAAAAGTCACTATATACATACTTTGAGGCAAGACCAGGGTATTCCTTCACTCCTTATTGAAATGTCCATTGGCTAGGTATTACATTCTAATGCCCATGTTCCCGTTGGAGTCACAGGGCAAGGTTCCACTTTATTACAACTAGGGATAAGTTATTTATCCTTAAACAATTTCTAAGTAGAATCTTACTTGAGAAATCAGACTGAAAACTGCTCATTGTTATGATGAATTCACAGATAAAACATATAAAGACAGATGGTTCTCAGCTTCACCCTCTTAAAATTGCTTTGTGTGTAAAGCATGGGGCTCCTAATTACCTGCATTATCACTCTTCTTTAAATACCCTGCTTAGGGACTGTTCTCTGTTGAGTGAGGAATAATCACTTTTATCACATTGTGCTTAGGGAAGCATCTGGTGCAGACACCTGTATATACAGCTGTTTTTTTCAGGATGTGAACATCTCACTATTGGCGGGGAGCATTATTATGGTTTAACGTCCTTGTCTGTAACTGAGCAAAGCACACATTTCTGGGTTATATTTCTTGTTTCCTTCTGTTAGTTCAAATCATCCAGCAAATGGTAAAGCAAAGGGATGTTAAGCTAGCAGTACAAACTCATAGTGATAAAGAAACACTATTGAGAAGAGACAGTCGTGCTCTGGGGTAACCATGCACTGAAGGACCTGATGAAATTGCCCTTCATGTGGTGCAATATAGATCTAGGACGTCTGTTAGGGTTCTCCAAGATGACAATCACTGTAGTTTTCACAGGAGATCTGGAGTGAAGTATTTCATTTGATTTCTCCTGTTAATATTGGCTTCCATTTTCAAGTTGTGTATTCACATGCATTCTTCTTTATAACTTTATAATGCCCAAATCACAGTTCCAATTGTGTGCAATCTAGCATTTATTTACATCTCAAATCTCATTCCCACATACATTAAGCATATGCTAAGGAGAGAGAGAGAACTGTAGTTCTATATTTGTAACTTACTTGCTATCAAAATGATGAAGCTTTGATCATAAAAGGGATATATAGACTGCATCTGTATTATGGAAAATAGCGTCAAGGAGTGTTCCCAGGCCCTGAAATCTAGTCACCATATTGCTAAATTGTCAGCCTGGTCATTGCTGGGCATGAACCAGGATCTGGAGAAGCTGCCTGCCATTCATGTGGCCACCTTGACTTGGAGAGTAAGAGACAAATGTGGGCTGTCCCATGACTGTTATCCTTGAGGAGGATGACCTCAGGCATGTACAGTGTATTAGTAGATACAGTACTGGCTTACAGTTTCCAAGATACGTTGGCCTTCTCTGTTTCTGGGCTCAGTACCTCAAAGGAATCTGCGATAACAGCCTGAGCAGAAATCCAGTGAATGTGATCCCCTTTACTTTGCTACCTTTTGGCATGTCAGAAATTTCAGGCAACCACAACAGCCCATGTTTGTGAAAAACTTCACTTAAGTTCCAGTGCATTACTTCACAGGGTGGTTTGATCTCTGTGGGGGTCTGTGAAAAATGATCTGTATTGTTCCTTGTTCCCAGGCTGGATTTGGCACCAATATATACATATAAAAAAGAAATCAAGGGCCTGTTCTGATTTTAATAGAAGCTGATTAGAAACCTGGACCCTGTACTGGTTCTGGTCTCCAGATTTCATTTCACTCTCAGATCATATTTGGCCTATTATCCCATATATTTAAATGACCACATAAATATAAAATAGGACTTGGTGTTTTGTTGATGCAGTCTAGAGGTATCAATCTGATCTGGTACTGCTCAGAAAATTCAGATGCATGAAAGTTTTTCCACTTAGCACAAATGTAATTCAGCTTCTTGCATAGCAGACCACCACTGTAAACAAATTAATTTTCCAGTTATTATTTTATAGGATTTTGTTTGGTGGTGTTGGTTTGGCTATAGGAAAAGGAAGAAAAGTTTTATAACAATTTTCCTTTCATCTTCAAGCTAAAGGCCAAATTCCCTGACTGTTAGCAGCCCTCTGGACAAAAGTACCTCACCACAATCAAATCCTTTAAAATTTTAGTTTAAAATTTTTATTTAGTCATAAACTTCTGACAAGATTAAAGGCCTGTTCTTGGATGATGTCAGGAGTATGGAATAGTTTTAACAAGTCTTTCAGTTAGAAACGCTTGATGGTTTTTAAACACAGACACTGTGGATCTCTGAGGAATGTTGATAGGCGCTGGGATAACCTTGCAGCAAAGAGAGCAATAGATTATATCATCATTTATTTCAGATACCTATCTGTTTCTGCTTTCAGCCTGGGTTTTATTTTTTATCCTAAGTTAGAACAGCCCTGAGGCAGGTAAGAACTATTTGATGTGATCTCTGCCTATCTTTCACAGCATTTTCAGAACATGCTGTATAAATGGTATAAATTAATCACTATTAATTTCACCCCTATCCAACTTTCTGCCCAGACCAAATTATGGCACAAAATTGAGCTTGAGGCATTGTTTCTAAATAGTAATTCTGATTACAGGAACATGTAGTAAATTACATTTAAATGGTATATTTTCTTAATTTGGAAATTAATAATTTCCAAATTGAAGTATCAAGGTCAAGCAAATAAGAGGATAGTATTTAAGAATAAAATGAAATCTCACAGAATCAGGGAATAGATGAAGTGGGAAGGCACGTCAAGAATTTGTTTAGTTCAACCTCAGTACTCAAGGCAGGGTCATCAATAAAAGGTTGCTCATGACCATGTCAAGTCAGGTTTTGAATACCTCCAAGAATGAAGGCTGCACAATCTCTCCGGACCATCCTGTGAACACAATAAAAAAAAAAAAAAAAAAAAAAAAAAAAATTGTTATTTTCAACATTGAATAGATTTTCCTATGTTAAAATTTAAGTCCAAAACCTCTTGTCCTTTCGAAGTAGACTCTGGCTCCATCTTCTTTACTCCCTCCTATCGTTGCTGGATCATTGGGACACAATCAATTGTATGAGGTTCAACAAGGCCAAATGCCAGGTCCTGCACTTCAGTCACAACAACCTCATACAGTGCTACAGGCTGGGAGAAGAGTAACTGGAAAGTTGCCCAGCGGAAAAGGATCTGAGACTGTTGGTCAACAGTAGCTGAACATGAACCAGCAGTGTACCCAGGTGTCCAAGAAGGCCAAAGGCATCCTGGGCAGTATCAGCAATAGTGTGGCCAGCAGGACCAGGGCAGTGATCATTCCCCTGTACTCAGCACTGGTGAGGCTGCACCTCAAATCCTGTGTTCAGTTCTGGGCCCTTCACTACAAGAAAGACATTGAGGTGTAGAGCAAGTCCAGAGAACGGCACTACAACTGCCTGAAAGGAGGTTGTAGTGAGGTGGGGGTCAGTCTCTTCTCACAGGTAACAAGTGACAGGACAAGAGGAAATGGCCTCAAGCTGCACCACGGGAGATTTAGATAGGAAATTAGGAAAAAAATTTTCACAGAAAAGGTGGTTAGGCATTGGAACACGCGGCCCAGGGAAGTGGTGGAGTCATCATCCCTGGAAGTGTTCAAAAAGTGTGTGGATGTCGCATTTGGGGATATAGTTTAGTGGTGATTATGGCAGTGCTGGGTTTATAGTTGAATTTATGATGCTGGAGTTCTTTTCCAACCTTGAGGATCCTATGACTCTGTGTATTTGTAAACATCAATATACACATATGCAAATTGATCCCTCCCTGAATACCTCTTGCAAGTACCTTAAAGTCGTGGATTAAATCCAAATATATGATAACTCCATTCAGTCTACAAAATCTGATCTCACACCTCTACAATACGGATGCAATTCTAATTAGTTAAGTACATTTCTTTCTATTTACATGAATGAAGTGAGATATTGGTATCAGGTGTGTCTCACTAATAACCAAATTAAGTTTGAAATTTAATTCTATATATGTTCAGTGAGGTTTGCTGTTAACCACTCCAATAAAGGCTGAGTATGAAACTGCAGTGAAACCCCAACTGGCAGAAAAGGAAAATAAAAAAAGGAGAAGACACACATTCACATTTTCACAATCCTTAAATGAGGGGCCTTATATAAGCTATAAACTATGGTGTACACCTACATGAAAATTTGATAGATGTTTCAAATAACCTCTGCAGCTGTAAATATACTCAATAAGGTTTGCTATCAATTGCTGCATTTTAGAAACTGAAAGCATGAATATTCAGCCTTGTACTCATCCTAGACTCTTAAGAAAAAAAGCAGGACATAGCAAACAAAGTATATATTTTAAAATTATTCCTTTTGCATTCCTGCAATATGCTGCTGACTTCAGTGTCATAGTAATTTGATTATTACAAATATTAAGCATCTCTAAAAAGATATCACTGGATATTGGGTTATTTAATACTGCTCTTGTCAAGGACACACGTAGATGTAAAAACATAAACAGCCATGCTCTGCTATTATGTTGAACTTCTTGACAAATAGGTTTCTATTTTTTTAGAGAGTCATAAGGAGTGCTAAGACATGTTTGAAGGAAGCCTCTCCATCCTAGTGTAAAGTTTTGAAAGCATCAATTTATCTGCTTAATAATATTAGAAGAGCTTCTAAGAGTATACTGTTGTAAACACTTCTAACCATCAAATGTAATTTAACTTTTCCCACATGGTTGTCTGTATTTGTCTTTGTTTGTTCTTTCTGATGTTTTACCTCCCATTGAAAAAAGCTTTATAATTAAAAAAAGACCACTGCCTGTCAAATGGTTTGTGTACAAATGAAGAAAGAAAGGAAAAAGAACAAGTTCAGAGTTTCTCATCATAAAAGTAAATCCAAATGTCATGGAGATGGTACCTAAAGAAAGTGGCCATCTTTAGAAAAGAATGGGTTGTTTTGCTTTGTTTTGTTTTGTTTTGTTTTCCCATAAATAAACCTAGGAAGCAGGAACACATGTAGATAGATACATTCTGGTAATTAAGACTACACATGCCTCTGAGCTCATTTTCTTTTTTGGAAATAGTATGCAAGAAGCCTTTGGCTATCAG